CTTGTCTTGTTCCAGATTTTAGTGGGAAGGCTTTCAGTTTTTCACCATTGAGTATAATGCTGGCTGCAGGTTTGTATAAATAGCTTTTATTATGTTGAGATATGTTCTCTGTATACCTACTTTGCTGTTTTTTTTAATGAATGGGTGTTGAATTTTATCAAATGCTTTTTCTGCATCTATTGAGATGATCATGTGATTTCTGTCCTTTCTCTTGTTGATGTGGTGTACCACATTGATTGATTTGTGAATGTTGAACCATTCTTAAGTCCCTGGGATGAATCCAACTTGATCATGAGGTATGACTTTTTTTATGTACTGTTGGATTCTGTTTGCTAAAGTTTTGTTAAGGAGTTTTGCATTTATGTTCATCAGTGATATTGGCCTATAATTTTTTTTGGTAGTGTCTTTTTCTGGTTTTGGTATCAGGATGATAGTTGGTGGCTTCATACAATGAGTTTGAGAGTACTCCCTCCTTTCCAATCCTTTAGAAGAGTTTGAGAAGGATCAGAATGAGCTCTTTGTATGTTTGGCAGAATTACCCAGTGAAGCCATCTCATCCTGGACTTCTGTTTGCTGGGAGGTTTTTTCCCTTGCTGATTCTATTTCTAGTGTTTGGTCTGTTCAACTGGTCTGTTTCTTCTTGATTCAGTCTTCATGTACTGTTTGTTTCCAGAAACTTGTCCATTTTGTCTAAGTTGTCTAATTTTTTCCATATACTTGTTCATAGTATCTTTTATGATTTTTTGTATTTTTGTGGTTTTGGTTGTAATTTCTCCATTTTCCTTTCTCATTTTGTTTAATTGTGTTCTCACTCTTTTTCACTTGGGGAGATTGACCAGAGGTTTGTCGATTTTGTTTTCTCTTTAAAAACCAGCTCTTGGTTTGACTGATTTTTCTATTGTTATTTTAATCTCTATTTTATTTATTTCCTCCCTGATATTTCTTATTTCCTACCTTCTGCTGACTTTAGTTTTGTCTGTTCTTCTTTGTCTAATTCTTTCATGTGATAGGTTAGGTTGCTTATTTGAGATTCTTCTTCTTTTTTGAAGAAGGCCTGTATTTCTATGAAATTCCCTTTTAGGCTGCTTTTGCTGCATCACTTAGATTTTGTGTGGGTGTGTTTTCATTGTCATTTGTCTCAAAGTATTTTTAAATTTCTTCTTTGATTTCATCACTGACCCATTGGTTTCTTAGTAGCATGTTGTTTAATCTTCACGCTGGCATTTTTTCTCCTTTGTTTTTCTGTGGTTGATTTCTAGTTTCATGCCATTGTGGTCAGAGAATAGGCTTGAAATAATTTCTATCCACTTAAATTTTCTAAGGCTCCTTTTGTGCACAAGTACATGATCTATCCTAGAGTATGTTTCATGCACACCTAAAAAGAATATATATATATATATATATATATATAAATTTGGAGGGGGATGTAATGTCTTAAGAACATCAACCAAGTCCAACTGTTCTATTGTATCATTTAGTATCTCCAATGTCTGATTGATTTTCTGTCTGGAAGACCTGTCCAATGGTGTTAGTGGGGTGTTAAAGTCTCCTACTATAATTGCATTCCCATTAATTTCTCCCTTTATGTCTGGTAGTATTTGTTTCATATATTTTTGTGCTCCTATTTTGGGTGCATATATATTAATGAGTGTAATATAATATCCTCATCTTTTGTTGCTCCTTTGATCATTATATAGTGTCTTTCTTTATCTTTCATTATGGCCTTTGTTTTAAAGCCTATTTTGTGTGAAATCAGCATTGCTACTCTTGCTTTCTTGTCATTTCAATTTGCATGAAATATCTTTTCCCATCCTCTCACTTTCAATCTATGTGTGTCCTTCATCCTAAAGTGATTCTCTTGTATGCAACAAATTGCAGGTTCTTGTTTTGTTGTCTGTCACTCTATGTCTTTTGATGGGAGCATTTAGTCCATTGACATTTATAGTAATTATTGATAGATCTGTGTTTATTGCCTTTCTGAAGTCTTTTTTCATTTGATTTGTTATTTCCTCTTTGTTTCTTTCTTTTTCTTTTTGCAGTTTGATAATTTTCTCTTGTATTATATTGGTTTGCCTTTTGTTTTTGTGACTCTTGTATACTTTTGATTTGTAATTACTTTGTTTTTCAAGTATGTTAACCCATTACTATATCTATTTGCTTTAAACTGATAGTCATATAAGCTCAAAGTCATCCTGGAAAGAATGAAAAAAAATCTATATTTTCTTGCTCCCCTCTCTCACATTTAATGATTTTGATGTCCTCTTTTATATATTCATGTTTATTCTATTGAAACTCATTGTACTTATCACATTTCCAATTATGGTTTTCTCTTTTCTATAGTGTTTTGCTTCTTTTCTATTTAGAGTAGACCTTTCAATATTTCTTTTAGCATATGTTTAGTATTGCTGATTTTTAAAAATTTTTTGCTTGTTTGTGAAATTCTTTATCTCTCTATTCTGAAGGATAGTCTTGATGGATAGAGTATCCTAGGCTATAGTATTTTCCCATTCAGAACTTTGAATATATCTTGCCACATCTTTCTGGCCCATAATGTTTTTGTAGAGAAATCAGTGGAAAGCCTTATGAGAATTCCCTTGTAAGTAACTCTTTGTTTTTCTCTTGATGCCTTTAGAATCATTTCTTTTTCCTTAATCTTGGCCATCTTAATTATAATATGTCTTGGTATAGGTCTATTTGGGTTCTTCTTGTTTGGGACCTTCTGTGCTTTCTGTACTTGGATATCTGATTCCTTCTTTAAATTTGGGAAGTTTTCAGTCATGATTTCTTCAAATACCTTTTCAATCTGATTTTTCTCTTTCTTCTCCTTCTGAGACCCCTAGCATGCCAGACTGGCACACTTTATATTATCCCATAGGCCCCTTTTATTGCATTCATTACTTTTCACTTGCTTTTCTGTCAGTGATTCTGATTCAGTGATTTCTGTTATCCTGTCTTCTAAGTCACTTATTTGTTCCTCTCCATTATCTAGCTTGCTTTTTATTGCCCTTCACTCTGGCTCTTATCTGAGTTATTGAGTTTTCTGTTTTTAATTTGCTCCTCTTTATTGCTTCTATTTCCTTTTTATAGTATTCTGCATTTTTATTCATAGCCTTTCATTTCCTTCAGTGCCTTTATGACTCCCTTTTTGAATTCATGATCTAGTTGACTATTGAAGTCTATTTTATTGATTATTCTTTAAGGGGACTTCTCTTGTTCTTTTAACTGGGAGTAGTTCCTCTGCTTCTTATTTTACTTATATCTCTCTGGCACTTTGTATTATTGAGTATCAGTTATCTATTCTGGTTTGAAGAGCTTTTTTTTTTTTTAAAGAGGATGTATTCTTGTGTAGACTGTGCACTTCTAATAATTTTGCTATGAGGTCTGTTTTTAGTATGGATGGTTCCCACATCTTTCTTCTGTTTGTGTTGGCTGTTATCCCTTTGATTGGGAGTCTGGCTTGTGTTGCTGTGATCAGAGCCTGCTCTGGTTGTTTAGTGGGGCCTCCTTTTTTTGTTCTGTGGTTGTCACAGTACTTACAGGGGCCATGTATATTCCCCTTTATTGTAATGGAGGCTTCCATACCTGTTTCTGTGCTGCAGTACATGGTAGTTGGGGTTGGAGTGCTTGAAGTACTCTTTGTTGATGCTCCCCTTGTCTCTGATTTAGCTGTGGGAATGTCAGTACTCTGCTCTGGTGTCCCCTAGTTTCTCTGCCCTCAGAGCTACCAGTGCAGATCTGCTGGCCTCTGGGTCACACCTGTATTGTGCTGTGCTATGTGATTATCAGTGCTCCCAATGCCTTGTCTGCATACATTATGCAGGTCTGCTGAAAATGCTGCAGAAGCAGTTGCCTCACTGTGAGCCAAAACTCCACTCCTTGCTCATTTGTCTTAGAAATGTGGATCCACAAAGGCACTTGTGGAGCAAATTGACCCCCTCTGCCTGGAGCTGTAAACAAATTTCAGTCCCACCTGTGAAGTTCAGAGCCCCTGGGTATGAATTCAGGTTTCAACCCTACAACTGCCTGGGAGCTGTACACCAGGGAATATGGTAGCTATGGTTGAGCCCTGCCTCTCTTATTGCGAGAATGCACCAGCAATGGTGCCCGGGACCTGTGGTAACAATAATATGGCCCAGCTGCATTGTGCTCTTCCCCACAATGTTCACCAGTGGTGTTGCTTTTTTAAAAATGGAGGCCCTACACTGTTCTGTTCTGTATACACTCCCAGCCATATCGCACAGCACACTCCAGCCCCCTGAGTCTGTCTCTGCACAGTCAGACTTATCCCTCTGCCTGGCCTCGGCAGCCAGTCTTGGCCCACTTTTACTAGCTCGTGTCTAAGGCTGAAGATTTCTGGAACCCTTTGTGCCAGTTTCTCTCAGTTCTGTCGACCAAGCAGCTGTTGTGCACTCCTCCAAGCCTTGGACGTTCTCTTTCCATCCCTGCTTACCTCTCTGTTGGAGAGGGGGCATCCTCCTTTGCCACTCCCTCCCCATGGGACAGGTCCCATACTAATGTCCTTTTTATTCTTCTTTTTTTCCCTCCTACCAGATTTTGTGAGGAATTTTGTCTTTGAAATAGGCCATGTTCTGGCAAAGTTCAGCAGGTGTTCTGAGTGAATTGGTGTGTTCATGGACGTCTCTTTTGGTGTATTCATGGGAGAGGGTGAGCTAAGAGCCTTCTACTCCACCATCTTGACACCCTTTCTGAGTTTCTTCTTTTTTTTGGCACTTCCAATGCAGTGGTGCTTACCAAAAAAGGGCCCACAAATTTACAGTGTTCTGAGATCTAATCTCACCTTTTAAGCTTCTGAATTTTCCATGGTTGGGGTCACTAAAGGGTTAACAGGAGGTAGATATTGAGAGATACATTTAATTGTCTCAGTAGGCCATTTAAAAGTCAATTGAAAATGCAAAGTCATGTCATTAGAATGAAAAGCCAGGATATTTTTGACAGCCAAAGAAACCAAAGTTTACAGTCTGAGTACCCAAAACCATTTATGTTTATTCAGGAGTGTAAAATACAAAACATTGCTTTAAGATATGAAATTATTTTTTCTGAGATATAGAAATCATATTGGCTGAACAAAATAAAAAGCTCAGTGTACAATAAAAGAGAGCTTGGATAACTGATGAGGTTTGAAAGGGCCTTTAGAGGCCAGAGGAATGTGCTTGCGGACATGGTATGTTGATGCCACAGTGTATTATATAGCCATTAGGAATTATAAACATTAAGTTCTTTCTAATATCAGTGTTCTAGGATAGCATGAAATATTCCTAAGATGTTCCTCCAAATAAAATCACAGGTTTTATGTCATGGGTCATGTGTTCATGTAATTAAAAATTTAAGCATGCAGTTAAACTAAACCTGGTTTAAAAAAGAAAACAAATAAATCATCTAAAACCACCCTTGCTTCTGCTCCTTATATTTTGAAGCTGTTAAAAAGTCCAGCAGGTTAGCATAACAAATTAAGAAGTTATGAGTTATAGAGTCAGACTGCCTAGATTTAGTCAGAACTTTTGGTTCTGATGCTTAACCAGCTGTCTGACATTTAGTAAGTTACTTAACCTCTTTGTGCCTCAGTTTTTAAATCAGCAAACAGGGGCAATAATGGTACCTACCTCACAGAGCAGTTGTAAGCATTAAGTGAATTGATACAGATGAAGCACTTAAAACAGAGCAAAAGCTCATTAAATGTTAGGCACCATGATTTAAAGGCATAATTTTCAACCTCAAGGAATTTATAATTCTACAAAGTGATTATTTCACTTTGGGAGAAAATGCTAATACATATGGAAAAACTGGGAACAATTTAAGTATTAAACAGTCTGGTAAACAGTATTAAACACCGTGGTAACAGGCTATAAATGCATATAATATTAAAGAAGAACAAATTCATAGTAAGCTTGTAGGTGACTAAAGTATGTTATGTTTCTGTGTAGGAGGAAGTGAGACTGAGGGTGGAAGTGAGAACACAGGCAAAAACATGGAGATAAGAATAAATAAGTGACAAGATTCTACATGCAACAGATTTTAACTGTGGCTATATCTTGTTTTAATTATTTCAAAATTGAGAATCCATGTAGTAAATGTGGTTCAGTATGTTTAAGTAACAAAACCTCTCTAATATTTCATATTCCATGTGATAAATTACATCACACTGTATATTTTTAAGGTAAAACTTTAACATATGTGTTTTAAAATATGTATGTATACTATGATCACATTTGAGTTTCAAATGTGCCTGTAAGAAAGGCAAGGGAAGTATTATTATTCTCACTTTACAAATGAGAAAGCTGAGGATCAGAGTTTATGTCACTTGCTTTAAGTTTCACTACTAGTAAGTAATAGAGATCAGATTAGCATCCAGGTTTTCTAGCTTTCAGTGTAGTGTTCTTCTACCACACTATACTTATTGAATAGCAGAAAGCTAGTAAATGAGAAATGAGAACTGCTTTTATGAGAAATATCACATGGGATCTTTATCTCAAGCAAGGGAAAAATAGTATAGGGTAGAAATACAGGTTCTAACAAGTCTCAGGTATGTTAAAAATAAATGGGCACCAGTCATTACCATGCCTTCGAGATCCTGTCTTCAAGTTTCTTTCTAAGGGACTGTAACATTAGAAATGAGATAAATACAAGATCTTGTGGTAGCTCATAGCGAAAAAGAATGCGACAATGAATATATGTATGTTCATGTATAACTGAAAAATTATGCTCTACACTGGAAATTGATACAACATTGTAAACTGACTATAACTCAATTAAAAAATGTTAAAAAAAGAAATGAAATAGAAGTAACATACACGTGGCAGATTCAGACAGAAATTCTCCTTTCCTAGCTTTTCTCTTTTTTCACCATTATTGTTCATTTCCTCTGAGGTAATGCACATTTTGAAACACAGAATTAAGAAACAGACTACACTTGGGCAGAGGCTTGCCCATGAATATTATATTTCAGCCATAATAAAGCTGTTGCTGTCTTAAGAACAAAGCTTCCACTGTAATATAAAAACCACTGTAAACATACCCTTGATATTCCTGTCAATATGCCAGTAAAAAGTAAAAAGTATAAAATAATAGTAAAGCTTATAATTAACTTCCACTCATGAGCAAAATCTCTTACATACAGTTTTATACATATGCATAAATATAAGTACTTCTTAAAAATTTGTAATATCAAAATTTAAATTTTTATTTAGAAACCCATTGCCATTAATTTTGAGCCCAGTAATAAGTGTGTAGAAAAGTAGACCCCTTTTCCTCTTCTTCAGATACATTTTAAATTACTTCTGTTCATTTATGGTAGTGCTTGTTGTCTTGTTTCTTAAGGAAGGAGTAGGGAGAGAACTCCCTATAAGAACCTCAACGATCAACAAAAGCTCCACCATTCTTTTTTGGGGGGGGTCTAAGGCAGAAGCAGAAGAACATTGGAAGCAATGACTTTTGATCAGGTTTATCTTCCTCAGTTTCCAGATTGTACATTGCATGGAGACTTTAGGGCCATTTGACTGAATACTAGGCTGTTACAGCATTTTATTTTGGAAGAAATAGCCTTACTTTTTCTAGCTGGTCAATACTACAAAGGAAAATGGTGACAGTACATTTTTCTGTAGCTCCTGGGTCATTCCATCTCTCATCTGATGGCATTAATGCAAAGGGATATGTTAGGACCATTAAGAACTATTAGCTAAATTTATATCTTAAAAAGCTAGGTTTTATCCTTTGTAAAGTTTTTGAGGGCGGAAAAGCTTTGCTTTCAGACCCACTTTTTTACAGTGCGAAGATAGAAATAATTTCCATATTTAGATGAATGATTGAGAAACCATTTACAATTTATTTCATAGATGTGGACTGAATTTTTAACATTTAAAATATCTTTAGGACCTCTAACAATGTAGATTCATAAATGAGATAGATTTATAGGTACATATTCTGTTAAGTATTATTTTTAAATTATTAACAGAAATTCTTATATTTATTGTAAGTGATCTGAGAAAACACTTGTTTGGGAAAATATTCATTAAAGATGGGTTTAAACTATTCTTTACATATTTCTTCTCCTTTTTCTGGCAAGGAGATCTTCTTCTTGGGTACATAAGTCAAGCTGGACAAAGAATGCTTTCTAAATGTAGATAGCTTTCTCCTAAAATTCCCTCCTGAAAAGAAATATAAGAGAGGATCAAAGCAACAATTTGACGCAGCCAGAGACAAGGTTATGACCACTGACTTTTGCATTCTAAGGACAGACTCACAGGGTTTAGTTTCATTGTGCAAAAAGTGAAGGTGAATGGTGCGTTGAATATGATATGGCAAGAAACTGATCAAAAAGGCAGCTGTAACAACTATGATCATTCCTATAGCCTTTTTACGGCTTGATAGATTTTTCTTCATTGAATTTTTAAGTAAGGTCAAAATGATCATTGTGTAACAGACAATTATGACAACAAAAGGAATGATAAATCCAAAAAATAATGACACATAATGCAAGATCAAGACATGATTTTTAGCTTGATTGTCCTGTGGAGGCTCAAAGCACTTGGTATTGTTTTTCTCATCTATGTAAGATGCGGACATTAAAAATGGTGAACTAGTCAAAATAACAAAAATCCAAATACCAACACACACAAACCTGGCTTTTTTCTGTGTAACCAAATTAATGTTCTGGACTGGGAAAACAATCGCAATGCACCGGAAAAAGCTCATGGCTGTCATAAAGAAGATGCTACAATAGAGGTTGACATACAAAGCGTAGGTGCTGAGGCGGCACAAAAAGTCACCAAAGAACCAAATGCCTTTGTGAACATAATAAACTACACGGAGAGGCAGTGTGCACACGCACAGTAGATCTGCAACTGCTAAATTAATCATGTATACTTGATAGGCTGACTTCTCATGATATGTTTTTATGAGGACGTAGAGCACAAAGCTGTTGCCAAAGAAGCCCACTACGGAGATCGTAGAGTACAAGGTGGAATACACTTGATTGCGGAAGTCGTCAATAGTATCATTGCATATGTTATTACTGGCAGAAGATACTGTCAGATTTCTGACTCCATCCATGTTTCTCTAGGAATGTCTTCTTGGTGCCTACAATATATATACATATATAAATCTTGTCAATTTTTTTAGACCAATAAATTATAGGAAGTACTATAATTTTACTTTATGGTATCACTATGTAAATCTTTTGACCACTGCAGAAAGCAAGAGTCGGGGGACAGGCAATGAGGAGAGATTTAACTGCACTTTGCTCCCAGGAGAAGGGTTTGGGTCCTATGGACACCCAGAAAATTCTTTTTTTCTCCTTCTCCACCCATGTTTGCCTGATGGACTTTTAAATCTTCAAGACCTAGATAAAACAGCTCTGCCTTATTTTAAGTCATATTACTCCAGTACTTTTCTGTAAATCTTCCTTTTAAGTGGGTTTATTTTGTAATTAGAGAAAAGCTTTAAAAATGGTAGTTTCATAAATATGAGTCTATCTGTGTCTATTACCTATTTATCTTATTTGAAGAGCACTGAATTCTTTTAGAGAATAAAATCTGGGTGAAAATGCTTGGTTTCCCCAAGGATAAGGCTTACTAGGTAACATCTGCTGGGTGATGCTTATACCTAGGGAAAATAATTAAATTTGTTATCAGTGGAACTCACTCCCTGAGGGAGAATCTTAATCTAGAACATGGTAGACTCTATTTAGAACCACAGAACACCAAGGTTGGGGAAACTTCAGAAGCCATACATTTATTTTAATAAGAAAAAAGGTGAAATACATTTAAAATGTGCACCTTAAGGCTCTGAGGAAAGATGCAGCATTACTAGTTGGAATATACTTTCTGGGTGAGGATATTGTTGACACTGTTCATTCTTGTTCTTGCTTCCTAAACTTAAACTCATAGCTTTATTGTTCATCAATACATGGTCATTTCTCTTATAGTAAGAAGTTGTTAAATTGGTCTAAGCTAGTTCAGCTTTATGAGGGCAATTAGGACGGCCAACAAACTCTGATCAAAGAGAGCTGGGGATGAGATAGTATGGAAGTAGTGATTTCTTTAGTATTCCTCTAGATTCTTTTCTTTTACTCTTTAAGAAGATGGGAACAACTTATCAATGTATAATATAGTGGATAATCTTTGGTTGAAATCCTATTTTTTGTCCTTTTACACAGCTCTTGCTCCCTGGCAAGAGAGAGGTTGTTATTTGTAAGGTGGGAAGACTGCTTAAGCATTCAAGAACTGCCAGCAGTGGAAAGGACTGATGTGGTCTCTGCACCAGAGATACAAATATGGATAGCTATAGCTGTGGTTATAGGTGGACTATAACTTCCAAGTTTACTACTGATAACAATTATATTTGCTGTGAGGATGTGTCATTCATCCATTTGTCCATTCCAGCTAGTTCTACTTTTTCCTTTTATTAAAAATGTCATTATTTTCCACTAAAAACTGTTGTTATACAGTAAAAAATTGAAAATGAATCATTCGGAGGGTGTATATCTAAGATCAATGAGAAAAATTAGTTCACTGTTCCCAACCTCTGCATTATTTCTCAGTTTGCTTTCCAGTTACCTGCCTCTTTCACCATTGGTTTTCTGAACTCAGATCAATTGTGAAGTAAAGAGAAACTGCCTAAGCGTACTCTAGCCCTGTACTGTTTTCCTCACAGTGTTAACCTGTGAGGCACTAGATGGTGCTGTTGAGATTTCTGATACAGCCTTTGTTTTAAGAAATACACTTGAAAGGTATTATTACTAATATCTTCTTGCCAACATCAGCTCTCACTATATCCTGCTGCATACTCTATCCAGAATAATTTTCTGGACATTGTCGCTTCCAATTATGTCATGTCCTTGCTATCAAAATCTTCAGGGGTTCCACAGAGCTTTCAGAATAAAACCCAGACTTCTTGGCCTGATATTTAAGGCTTTCTACAGTCTGGTTCCAACTGAACTTTCCTAGTTTTTCTCTCACTTCTCCCCTTTGTACATCCTATAGTTCAATGAAACAACTATTTTACTATGCTAGGGACATGCACTACATGTTTTCCCACCTGTCTGTCTGTTTTCATGATATTTCTTCTTTCTGAAATGCCCTTTCCTCCATCTATGTGTATGCAAAAATTACCCATCTTTCAGCTCAAATTACACTTTATTGACCAAGACTTCCCTCAGCTTCCTTCCAAAGTGATTTCTATCTTTATCCCTTCTTTGGAACTTAAAGCCAACATTTTAGATCTATGATATATGTATATTATGTTCCTTCATAGACTATCTGGTTGATATATAAAGGCATCTCACAAAGGGCTAACACATATGTACCTTGCCTGTAAGTACTCATAAATGTTAATTGAGTGAATAAGTAAATGAATGATGGAACAAGTTTATCATTTGAAAGTATTATTTATCATTCAAAACCACTTAAAGTTATCTTTTCACCCCAACATAATTTAAAACTTTCCCAGTCTTAGAGCCTAAAGTGGCTTTGTTAAGTTGCTTCCTAAAGTATTAAGAAAGGGACTAAATCATTAGACTGACTATAAGATTAAAAAACATCCATATCTTGACACATATTAATCATTTGCTGATTTTACTTATCTGTTAAACATTATAAATAAATTTGAATTTTCCAGATCTTTAAATGATAGATGCCAAATAACTCTGATAAATAAATTAATAAAAAACAAAGAAATAGATGTTCTCTAGTCCCATTAATAAATTTCTCAGTCATTGCAGCCCAAAATAAGCTTTCTTAATAATTTTGATATTTAGATTAAATTGTTTATTTATAACTAAGTCAAGTCAATTACTTATACTAGGCCCAAAGGGAAGACTGTGAAACTTTCAAGCAAGTAATGAATCATAGAGAGATAGTTAATCATTTAGTTCAAGCCACTCATTTCACAGATGATGGCTTTGCTTATCTTAAACAGCATTTAATTCATTTTAGTAAAATTTACTGTGATCTCCAAAGATTGAGGCCCACACTGTATGAATATAGAGATTCCTAGGAACCCATCTCTGCTTTCAAGCAGCTCATAGAATGGTGAGGGAGAAGAGTGATGGCTCAGAAATGTGAAGAGATTACAATACAGTATGGCAAGAGCTATCTTAGCACAAAACAAATGGGTTATTAACTGATTAATATAAATAAGTAATAAACATAAATGTAATTAGTATTTATTGTAGTTAATGAAGGAAATTACTTTGTTAAGATAACTAGTTAGTTGAAAAAACAAGATTCATTTAGAAAATGGAGCCATACCTCTTTCTGGCCCTGCAGTACCCTTATCAAGTGTTCCTGGTTAGTGGTCAGTGCTTCTTATGTTGTAATAACAGATGAAGCCTAAGCTGAAATCATAAAATTGAAAAAGAAGTTAACGATCTTAGAAGCAGTCCAGAAAGGTCATGGGAGATTAGCAGCCTTAAGCATAGATCTAGGGTATGTCATGGGACATCAAAACTTAACTGACAAATTTAGAGCTAGTTATTGGATTTCATGCCTCCTTCTTTCCTCTCCATTCATTTTTACATCGCCAGGGGAAAATGTGGATTAGAGAACAGGAATGATCACACCTGTTTGCTACTGTGTGCATGGAGCTTCTGTCTGAAGCTGAGCACAGTATTATAAAATCTTTCTTCTCTCTTTGAAACCATTATATTTTCAACTCTAAACAGTTTTTTTTTAAAAAGTTCAAAGGGGAAATTACTTGGAACTTCATATCCAAGGATCTAGTTTTCTAGGAAGAGGTGTTAGAACGTTAAAAATATCAAGTACATCTGTTTGGGATGACCTAGAGATAGTTTTCCTTGGAGGAAGGATGACTTAGAGGACTTTGGACTCTTTTCCCTAAAAGCTCATAATAGTAATTATTTCTATCACTAATTTGGCATATATTATATACCTTCAGAGAGCAATTGTTTTATAGTTTGTATAGTTAACTTTTCATGAGTGTATGTCTCTTCAGTTAAACCATGTTGGAAAATCTAATAAAGTATAACAAACCTCCAGGGAATTAGCAAAGAAGGGCTTTCCTGATACAGTAGCAACCTGAATATTTGTCTTCTAAATTTGTGTTGCCCTATGGCAACTTTCATCCCCCTGTCTGCAAGGACCCCAGAGGCTGACCACTTTTTATTTACTTGTAGTCAAATGCTAACAAAATAAACACCTTCCCCCAGTTTATTCTTATCAAGTATAAATAGATTGGGACTTTCCAAAGGCACTCTACTGAAAAAAAAAAGGAAATCAAAAGGAAAGTAAAGAAAATGCAAAAATATAAAACACAGACAAGTTTTAAAAGTAGGAATCTGAATCTACAGCTACGATATTACTGTTTGAGTCCACCCTCTACTCAGGTAATCATTTTTCAGATCCTCTCTAGTTTCTTCTCCCTCTCTGAATATTCCCTCCTTCTCCAGGTAAGGAGTTGACATAAGTAAGATACTACTAGCAGCCTGAGTGAAGTATGGGTTGCAGATGGGGAATTACTCAGACAGAGCTGGCTTTTACATTTTGTTACACAGACATAAAACTTTCTTGGGGTTTAGTTTGTCCTAGGTCTCTGTAATCAACAAAAACTACTGACTAAATATTGAATGAAGAATATCTTTTCTAATCTTGAAATTATGATTCTAGTCATCTTATTTATGGTGAAAATTAACTTTGGCTCTGTCACAATTTTGTTTAGACAAAGCTTATATTTCCCCCCTGTGTGGAAAGAGAAAGTTTCTGAATTTTTAATACCTATCTATGAGAACTGTAGTATTACCAGGCTAAGTACTAGTTATCCTTTTCCATGGTAGCTGCATAATTACAATTTAGCCCACCCTGTATATGCATAGTTGAGTAAAAGTCACATTGTCTGGGAAACAATGCAATGTTTCCTCAAATCTGGGATTCTGAGATGTCTTCTGTGGCTCCTTTAGAAATTTTGAGCTTTGCCTATAGCAGGCATTCAATACTTTTACTCCTTGCACCTCTTTTCAGTTTACTTAAGAACTCTTGTCTCTGACAACAACTTCTGCCAAAATTGGATTTTACCATTATTATTTGGGTGATTAGGTGAGTGAAGTTGAAGCAATAAAGTAAGAGTGTGGATATATGGATTTTGAGTTCAATTATTTAATTCGGGAGTTACTCAGATCTTTTATTTGGCTCATCTTAAGTCCATGTCTTTCTGCCTGTCTGTCTATCTCTCTCTCTCTCTCTCTCTCTCTCTCTCTCTGTTTCTGTCTCTCTCTCTCTCTCTATCTATCTATCATCATCATCTATCTACTGTTTTGTCATCAGCCTTTAGTCTCCACTGAGTCTGTAATCTGGTCAAGCTCCAGTGAGTAAGTAAGTAAGAGACCTCAGAGATGATCTAAGAATATAAGGTCTCAATTCATATAACATACTCTTTATTGTTGCTGCAATAAAACCACCTATGAATGAGAATGACTTATATACTGTTGTGCCTTCTAAGTGTCATCCAGGTAGAGCTGGTGATCTACAAGAGTCCCCAGGTAGTCCCCAGGCTAGCGTCTTCTATTAAATGAAGATAATAATGCCTCTTTTTTTATGTTTCTAGTCAAACAAAAAGACATTCCTGATCCTCTCAATTCAATTTAATAATTCTCTCCTTTGAAGTCCTACATTATTTTGTTTGTGCTTTCCTTGGTAATTTTCATTTATTGTTTCATGTCATACTCATCCTTGTAGTTATTCAATTTAAACTTCTCCATTCTTCTCACAACAGTCCCACTAGATTTAAAGGGCAATAACCAAGTCTTATTCTTTTTGTATTTCATGCTGTACATAGTACATTGTCTTTTAAACATTGGTTGATTTGAATATTAATTTTCTATATCATTTTGTTAATGTCTTATCATAATCAGAGGGAATCTTGCATGGAGAAAGACAATGGGCATGGTAGAAATTTTGTAGGACTGGTAGGTACAAGACTTGAATCATTCCTCAAGCTCTGGTGGATGATTAATTGTGTGATCTTGAGTAAATCACCTTTTCTCTGTGATATCTTCATGTATCTGCAATTCAATAGGGTTGTAGTATACAATTTCTGAATTCCCTTCCAGTTTGCCATTCTGTAAATCTATGAAGATCAGAGTACGTTTCCTCCCTCCCTTTAGCAATTTTTGATCTTAGGGAAAAAAAAAGAGCAAATAGGAAAAGAGATCTATGGCTTCAATAAAGAGGAAAACAGACATAAGCTGTGAACTTGATTTAAGACAACTAGGTGTTCCCTGAGTTTCTCTCGGGTGAACATCTGAAAGACTCACTTTATTCCTCTTTGAATATATCAGCTGTGCTCAGGATACAGGCTTGGTCAGGCCCTCTAAAGGCAACATAGTAGTTCTAGCTTTGACAGTGATTTCTAGATGAAGTGTTAATTTTGTGATGTGAAGCTGTACCATATTCTAAGTCTCATAGGCCTTTCTCCCAGGCAGTACCCCTTTTGTTTCAGAAGTAATGTCTCTGATTCTGGCAGTATGATTACCATTCCTTAGATCTTCTAAGAGAAAATCCTAAAATTATCTTTGTTGGTTTCTTTTTTTTTATCATCTCTTGTATGAGATGCCTATCCTGCTTGATCATATGGTTTTAGGGTTCTAGAACCAGCAATTCATCCACCCATATGTTAGCTGATGCCTGAAATCTACTCTGCAGAATTTCTCACAGGCTTTGATTTCTGTTAAAATGACAAATTTATCAGGCCCTGCCGTCTCAGTTAAATAGAAGGAGTCTGAGAGGGTTTTGCTAAAGCTAATAGGGCAAGAGGAAAAGAGAGGAAGGCAATGGAAATCTGAGACCTGAAGACATTGAAGTTAAAATTACAGATGGGAAAAACGTGCAGATTTGGGAAGCTGGGGGTGAAGGGAGGAGGAATATGACTTCTTAATTTTGCTCCAGTTCCAGCTAACATTTATACAGTGTGAAACCAAGTCTTGATCTTTTTCCTCTTCATTTATCTTCATTCCTACTGCTGCTTCTTTGGTTCTAGCTCTCATTACATCAGACATAGATAGTAAACTCCTACTTTTCACATACATCTTGTATATTAGCCATGCTGGACTATTTGTAGTTCCTGGAGATGTCTTTCATGCCCTCTTAATTTCAGGCTCTTTTGTCTCAACATCATCTTTCACACCACTGCTAGACTAGTCATTCTTAACCCTTGCTTTTACCCTGTCTTTTTGTTGCTCAAGAGCTTATAAATGACTATAATCAAATCCCAACCTTATATTTCAGTCAACTACCTCCACCATCTAGTACTAGCCTTCCATCCAACCTTTTGGCTTGAGAGAAAGGTGATAATGGAAGAGGTCAAAGAACTATTGTTACCTGGAGAAAGAAGAAACCTTGATAAAGATAAAACTAAGTACTAAGGAGAGTTTAGGTCTCTCAGAAGGAGAGACTTGAAATAATCTGAGGCATATTTTTGGATGTGCAGTTATCTCAAACTAAGATACTCTATAGAATGAAAAGGACAGCTTAATTATTGAAATAGTGACTTTTGGGAAAACTTGGTTCAGGGACAAGTTTACCCTGACATGCTAGTTTAAAATTCTGATAGTCTTGACAAGCATATCCCTTTAGTATCATATAGTGACTCACCAAAGAAGGCTAATATCCTTGCTCTTCCAATCAGTGCTTTAGTCCTGAGGCCACAACTTATAGTAACAAAGTTTAAATTCTTTTTATGTTATCCTGTCATCATTTACAAATATTCATGGTTTCTACCCAATCCTTTCCCTCAAACCCACCTCAAGCCCTACTCTACTTGGATCATCTTTTGAGCAATGAAACATCTATTTTGACCTTGTTATTTATCCAATATAAACAAACCATACATATTTTTGTTTCTTTATAAGTGATGTTTTGGAAAGTAGTCAAGTATACTTGATGTCTTCAACAACCCTAATCAGGGGCAATGCCAGGGCCAACTTTGATAAGCCATGAGAGAAGTGGGAGTTTGTTTACTTTCTGATATTTGAACTCTAAAATGATCTTAGGAGATCATCTTAATTCTGGAATTTGCTTTCAAGAAGAATGTGAGAAATTTTCCAAAAATATACAAAAAAAGCAGCTGTGTTAATCTAAATTTGGGGACTTTGCATTACTGATTACACTTTGTTGAAGTAAAATTACAAATCTTTTACTTGGGGAAAAAGACTCAGTTATTTAGGTTATTAAGGGCCCAAAATAGTTTATATTAGGGGAGAAAGATACTTTCTATAAGGAGCAAGGAGCAAGGATATAGGTGAAAATTTACACTGAGCCTATTTTATTTTCCAAAAATATAGGAATTTAATGGAAAAATTCAAAATTAGAGGAAAAAGAACATAAT